GAGTCACATCTTTGTGTTGAAACTGTAAGTTTAGAAGAAAACAATTGTAAGGTGAAACATTTTCTAAACATTTACCCTTTGAATCTTGCTGATATAGTGTATTCACTATTTCTTTGTTCATAATATTCAGTTAAGATTATAAGAAAGATGATTTTCGTCTAATTTTCCCTTACAAATGAGAAAACAAAAGCAAATACCCTTACACAAAATTCAAATTTATATATATTTCGTTTATGAAGTAATATTTGTTTGAAAAAAAATCGTTAAAGAACATTAATAAAATAAATAAAAACCAAAACTGGCAACAGAATGGTCCCCAAAACCCTACAACTAGGTCTTATCAGCCTTTTTAGGGCTATGGAATCCACCGGATTCTTGTTGGCTCAGTCTCAGTTAGTTTTAGTAGGAGTACTACTTAACACACTAATTAGTACTATTAATTAAACTTAACCTGTGATTAACTACTCACTCAAAATAACTGTCTTCCGTTACACGTATTATAATAATCCTGTATAGTTTTAGTTTAAGCTTATATACGTATAGTTTAATTAGTTAAATCATTATCAAAATTAGTAAACAAACTTGAGTCAACGGTCAAATTACATGGAGTCACACCACCGCCCCTAATTCTAGCTAATACCTAACTATATCAAATACTAGCTTCTTGACTAACCTAATCATATAGTGTTTATATACTTTATTAAACAAAAAAATTTAAGCTTTATTTTATTATATAATGATCAAACTTGTTTGGATAGCTTCTACGGTTAATTTCATGAATAAAAAGAGAGATTTATTTTGCAAAAACATACCAAAAACTTGATCAACTAACAAGGTTTTTTTTTCTTTTATTTGAAAATGATTTAGTTTACAACCATAAAAATTATCGTCAAATAAGATTTAGGTTTTTTGCTAAACTCAAACAACTTGATGAAGTAATAACTTAACTCCTTTATTTTTATTTTATTTTTAAATAAGTTTTTAAAATATAAACTTTTGAAAAGACAGAATTAGCGGAATAATTAAAGCAAAGTTGCACGCGACGTGAGGCAGACCCGTGAGTCAGATTTTCATGTGGAGACAGAGTGGCAGTCACGCACGTGTCACGTGTCTTTCATTTCATTTTTTAAAAATTAATTTTTTAATTTTTACTGTTTTTTTCCCTCCCCTAAAGTTAATAAATAGTACAAACTACTCTTTTTAATACTAGTTTTGTTTGTTGCACGTATTTTTTTTTTTTACATTATACATACACGACTGCTAAATTGAATAATCGACAAAAGTTATATTCGTTAAAATAGATTTATAATCCTAAAAATAAGGGAGAGAGAGAGAGAGAGAGAGAGCCTCTTGGAGAAAACGAAGAGACGAGACTTAAGAGAAAAAAAAGAGTCCACGTCACAGGGAGCTGTTAAAGCCAGCCAAACATATATGCGAAGCCAAAGAAGACAACAAGAGATTCTCACTTTTGCTAACGTACACACTTTCTTCTCCCTTTGTTACATTTGTTGTGTAATTAAAAGTGTTTTGTATTACAATTTAGAAACTATTCTTATTAGGGTATTATACTATTATTCAACTTTTTTATGTGTTTGTTTTCTCATCACCTTTTGATACGTAAGCTTTTAGTGTGTATAAACGTGAGACTGAAACCATTTATATATATTCATGGGAAAGATTGACTTCTCTTTCACTAAAATTAAAGAGTCTTGCTTTTTTTTTTTTTTTAGTTTTAATATATTGTTATACTCAATTATATATAACCATGTAACCCAACTGGTCTTACACCAAATAGTAAAAAACATGAAAAAAACACTTTCTCATGAAAAACATACTTTCTTGTTTGTAAAGAAAAAACTTTATGTTTGATAACAAATTTTTCTGTCGGTATCAATGCTACTTGTTTAGTTTAAATTTCGTTTTGACATCGTTACAATTGTTTCATTTGTAATTTAATAATTATATCTATTTATTCTTAAAAGTTAGATCGAACTATTGTTCACTCTCAAGGTCAATCAATCTTTGTGCGTCTTGCTAGTGTTCGTTTGTATCCGTGACTAAATAAACGTAAGTTGCATAGGAGTTACTAAAGCTACTCTACATTCCGACGAAGTTTGTATCAAACGCTAACAGCTGCCACGGAAGAATGAGCTAAATCGATCAGTTCTTGTGGATGCATATATACATGCAGGTCTCTATACATGTCGTAGACTAGTTTAGGATTACCAATACATTAACACTTGGTTAATTTATAGTTTTTTTTGGAACTTTGATACGACAATACGCGCCTACGCGCCCCCAAATATTTTCTCTCGAAGGCGAAAACCTAAGAAAATCACGTTTCACTTGACGGCTACACCGCCGTAGTGCAGTCGTCACTGACTGACTCCGGTAATCTCTTCTCCGGTGAGCCATCTAGTCTCTATTCCTTGCTTTGATGGATTCTGTTGCCACGGATTCTCGAATGAGCTCCGACGCTATGAACTCTCCTCTCGCGACAGAAGATGTGACACAAACCTCGCATCTCTCTTCTCCGTCTTCGACAGCACCTGTCTCTACTCCATTTGTTCCTACTATTGGAGCATGGGTAAAACCGCCTAAGATCATCCCGGAAGCTGTACCTTACCGCCACGAAACTCTAATTCCAAAGGAAAGAGGCAAATCAAATCCAGATTTAGACATCCTTCCCCCTGCGATTAAAGAGGATGGACAACTACGCTTTCCATGGGCTGCAAAGATGGACCCTTCCATCCGTAATCTCCATCGAACAACAACACCAACTTACATGGAAGATGGTACTCCCAAGGTACACATTCCAAACCATGTCTTGTTAAAAGGACTCGAGAACCAACAAGAATATGTGATCGGTCAGTTTAATCGTTGCCTCACACCATCTGGAGGTCTCATCAATGCAGTGGCTAATAGAATTTGGGGGAAAAAATGTAAGATTTTCTCACGAAAACTTGGGGAATCCTCTTATATGTTTCATATTCCGGATGCACCAACTAGAGCCTGGGTTTTACAGAGAGGTTTATGGCATATTGATGATTGCATCATGTTTGTTGCTCCTTGGACTACTGATGCTACCTTAGCATTACCAAAGATCACTTCAGTCCCAGTCTGGGTTACGCTAAAAACATCCCTAGTCGTCTTTACTCACATTGGGGAATCAGTTGGATAGCTTCGGGTTTAGGTGAACCTATCACTACAGATAAACCGAGGTTGGACCCATTCCTAATGGGAGTGGCTAAAATCATGGTTGAAGTTGAGCTAGAAAAAGGATTTCCACATAGAATTGCAGTCGAGGACAAAAGAGGCAATGTCACTATGGTGGATGTGGAGTATTCTTGGCTTCCATCGAAGTGTAGTAGATGTGGGTTTTTAGGCCACAAGGAAACTAGATGCCTTCTCCTTAGTCAACAAGGTACTGCATCTAACTTAGTGTCCACAGTTCCTGCAATCCCAGTTGTTGTTGAGGGTAATACAAGCTCCCAAACAACCCATGTTGAAGCAGCCAAAACCTCACATGTTACGACTCCCATTGTTGCACAAGAAACTCTTGTTGATTGTGTATCTCTAGATGCTGCAGTGGTAAACACTGGTTCTGTTTCAGCCTGCACTTATGTCTCTCCTCCTCTCTCAGTTGAAGCTGCACCAGTGGAGACTACAACCTACATACACTCACCAACCGTTGTGGCTGGGCATACTACTACTACAACTGAAGCGACTACCTTCACAACTGCCTTATGCAACCACACTCCCATAAATACTGAAGTAATATTGCCTTCTTCTCCAATGGTAACTGTCCCATTTACTCCCCCTCGTTCAGGTTCATTGGATAATGAGAATGTGCAGGAAAATGTCTTAGAAAGTAATCAATTTGCTGTCTTCGATGTTGGAGTTTATGGTTATGAGATGGGTGTTGAATCCTCTCAACATACCCGAGGAGGGAGGACAATAAAACCTACACAGAAAATCCAAGATCAATGGATTACGGTAGGAGGACGGAGCAAACGTGGTCGTGGTGGCCGCGGTGGTCGAGGCTAATCGTTCCAAAATAAATAACTAGAGAATTAATGTTTTACTAGTTCTATCTTTTTCCCTTATTAGAATCTGTTTTTTTGCATGATCTCCTATCTCTTAACTTTCAAAAACTATATGATCTCAACATCGTATCCTTTTATTTCCTTTTATGCATTTTAATTGAAAGCCTTTTAACAAAAAATTTTTTTATAGTTTTGGTATTATTACATCAACTAATACACAAGAATCACATTATGCTAATACACGGGGATACACATCAATCACATCAATACATCATGTTTTAATGTTCCGCCACTACTACACGGGGATTAAAAAAAATTCACATGCATGTTTTATTAACAAGGGCAAACAATTCAAAAAAGCGAGTTTTATTTATCAAATTTTCCCAACATAGATGATAAGATATTTGACGAAATACAAATCTATAATATAAGAAATATTGTAAAATTACGCACTAAAATTTATCATTTTTTTTTTGTAATAAATTCAAGTGCTTTTAAAATATCGAAAACATAGTATGTTATAGCTTCGAATACATTGATTCAAATTGAATAATTTCCTTTAAAAACTAATAAATACAGGAATACAATCATACAAGAAAAGTATGATTATGAAAAACGTAGATAGGAACGACAAGCTAAAATTGAAGTATATATAACAAAAGTGTAGCAATCAGAAAAGATTTGGATAAATCTCCAAAGAGATGGGCAACTTGGCTCTCTTCACCAAAAATTGGTCCACCTATCACCCTCACTCAAGTTGCCACTGTATACATCTTTAAACTCGATTCAACTTTAATTTATTTAATCTATTCGTGTGTGTGTGTGTAGTAGGCTAATTAATTATAACGATCATTACACTAACTAGCTAACACGATATGTAACAATAAAATTAGTAATATGTATACAAGTTTGGCGGAGGAGTGGTCCTGTCGGGGCAGAGAGAGAGTGGTCTCTGGCTGCATACAAAGATTCGACCACACCCTAACCATATATTCTTTCGTACCTTTCACTCTCCCCCATCGCGATCTATCTTTTCTTTCTTTTCTTCAAACTATTATTTCCTTTCTTTTATGGTCCTTTTACTGAAAGCCATAACTATTTTTGTTGTTTTTGTTGTTCTCCTCCTATTATACAAGTATATTACTACCTACATATAGTTTTTTTTGGCAAGAGAGCAATTCTGCATTTTATTCTTGTTTTGTTACGTAGGAGATATTAGTTGTGCTTGTCAGCTTGTGCATGATTTTTATCGATTAGTTGGTGTTTTCTAGTATCAAAATCAACTAACGAATATAGTTATCGTAATAACATATCGGGTGAGAATGATATACAGTTTTGTTATGATTAAACTGAATGATTCTATGTACAATCTTGAAAAGTGTTAAACACTTTACTTTCAAGGAAAAAAATGTTACTGTGACTAGTCGTTCAAACTTTTTATAAGTTAATAAAGACGTATGATTTCTAGAAATAACCAATGACACAATTAACATAATAAATTTGATACATTATATTGGTCTGCTTCTAGTCGTAATATTGTATTTGTATTATGCATGGTTGGCTTCGACTCATATACGTACCGAGTTATAATTGTGTAATATATTCGACTGTTGTGGTATACAGTTTAATGTGCATATACTCAAAGGGTGGACAGTTTGAGTCACCACTCGATCATCACATTTGTTAATTGTCATGATGTCTTCAAACCTTTGGAGAATTCATAGTCTTTACTATATATTGGCTCCTCATCTACTTGATAACTCCATCACCAAATCGATTAATCTGTACCATGTACATACAAAGATAAGCTTATCAGTTTGATTCTTGAATGTGTAAAACCACCTTTCCTAGAAGAAAATATAAAAACATATTGTCACGAAATTAAAAACTCATCCACATGCACGAGCCAATAAGAAGAACAGTGCGACCAATAATAAAAGTGTAAAAAGTCAAACACCTCTGGGTCATTTAGAGGGTTTCCAGTCTCCGTGTATGGCGGAACAACAAAGGCCTTTAATTTCGTCAGTAACGCTAAAATAACAGATCGGAAGAGAAAAAAAGAAAAGAAAAAATCATTACATCGAGGAAGAAAAAGAAGAAGAAGAAGTAATGGAAGATCTATGGAAGAGAGCGAAATCGTTTGCGGAAGAAGCAGCTAAGAAATCTCAAACCATAACACTACAATCATCTTCAACAACCTTCGTCAATCTCGTCTCCGAAACCGCCAAAAAATCCAAAGAGTTCGCTCTCGAAGCTTCTAAGAAAGCCGATTCGCTCAATGTCTCCGAATTCGTGGCCGAGACGGCGAAAAAATCCAAGGAGTTCGCCGCGGAGGTGTCGACGAAAGCGGATCAGCTCAAAGTTGTTGCGTTGAAGCAAGCTGATCAGATCCAGAATATTAAGTCTATTGCCGACATTATACCTCCTTTTGGTTCTGGATCAGGATCTGGTGGTGGTTCTGTGATCTCTGAATCTGAGCTTGTTAGCTTTGGTATTACTGATGATTTGAGGGAGTTTGTTCAAGGTTTGACGTCTGCTACGTTCCAGGCTTTTCCTGCACAAGGTATGGTGGTTTGCTTTATCTTGTGTTTTCTTTTGGCGATTCTTTTGATTTGGAATTGAGAAAATTTGCAATGTGTTATGGTAAATGTTGATTAGATGAATCTTCGGAAGTTTCTGATTTGGAAACAACTGCGTCCAATGTTCGGAAGGATCTTTCGGAGTGGCAGGAGAGACATGCCACTCTTGTTCTTGGCTCCGTTAAGGTAATTCTTGAAATTTGGGAATTGAGAAATAGTATATAGTTTGATCTTGCATACTGGTTAACTTGTAGATTCATCTCTTATGTGCTACATTGTTTGATGTTTGCATTTTGTCTATGTTGCAGCAAATTTCGAAGTTGAGATATGAATTATGCCCACGAGTCATGAAAGAAAGGAGATTCTGGAGGATATACTTTACCTTAGTGAGCACTCATGTTGCACCGTAAGGCTCTACTATCTCTTATTAAAGTCTAAAACGTTTGTGAGACTCACTTTTGAGTAGAGTAAAGACCTAGATTTGAGAATTGGGTTAATCACATAGGTGGAAGTAAAGATGGCTTACGACCTGTATATTACTAAGACTATGATGTCTCATATCTTAATCAATGCAGCTTAAGACATGTGATTAGACGTAAAAGTTTGGTTAAATGAATCCATAACTAATCATATGGGGGCATGCATTTGATCACTGCACATTGTCTATGTTGCCAATCTTCTCTAGCTTGGTTCAGTAGCTATCTCAGAAAACCACGTAACTCACAAATGAGAATAGCAAAATGAAAGGACTGAAAAGATATAGAAGATCTTGGCGCCTTAATTGTTTGTGTATGTTTGTTAAGTGATTAGTGAATTGAGCACCCCTGTCTTTCGTGGGTATGAGACTTGATAGCCGCATGAATTTAGTGGAAATGATTTGTTTGGGCTCAGATATGAGAGGAAGTACATGGAGGAACTTAGGAACAAAGCAGAGAGTAAAGAAGAAGAAGCTAAGAAGAGCCCAGGGGTTGAAGGGACAGAAACACGTGAAAAGAATGTGACAAAAAACAGAACATCTACTGCATCGTCTGAGCAAGATCTTGACACATTCCTCCTGGGAGATCTAGAAGACAGTGACGAAGCTCCCGGTGAGACGTCTTGACTTGTTGCTTCCCAAGTTTTAGCCGTGTCTTAAATATTGATTTTGTTTGTGTAATTATGAAACCTTGCAGATGATGGTGATGGTGATGATGAAGGGAGCCTGGGTGATGATGACTTCGACAAGATTGGCAACTCGGTAAGTTAACATTTGATTCTCTCTTTGTCTTTAAAAGATACAAGAAGAGAACATCTTGGTTTAATCTAAATCTGCCTTCACATGTTTGCAGGACGCTGAAGAAGAAAAAGAAACAAAAGCAAAAGCCTAGAAATATATAGTAGTTTTGTTATAATTGAGGGAAGTAAATGAACAAGTCCAATCATCAGTGTATATAGCTTTTGCTTTAACGAATATGCAAAAGAGACGCATTTTATTCATTCGAATTCGCAGTTTATTATAAAAAGGAGACTTTCTTATTCTTGTAGTAAGCAAAAGCTTACAACTTTGAATACAAAACTACCCAAATTTTTTCCGAAAGTTTCTTAACATAAGTATTCGTTGCTCCGTCGGAACAGAGAGGTTTTAGTAGTTTTTGCTCCGTCACTGAAATGACGACAACATTTCTTCTCCGGCGTACCAAGTCGCCGACAATATCATCTATCTTGTCTCTGGCGATTTCGTCTTTCTCGACGCAATGTTTTGTTCGACGAACAGCATCACTCTCTGTTCCGACGGAAGCTCCTCCGGTTCCAAAGAAGATCCCGTTCACGGTCTCAACCCATGGAATCACAAGGCAAGATTCTTACCATTGGATGAAGAATACGGACGACACCGATTTCGTTAACTTCCTCGAGCGTGAGAACTCATACGCTCATGCTTTCATGGCTGACACAGAAACCCTGAGGCGTGATTTAATCTCCGAGATGAAAACTCGTATTCCGGAAGAGATTTGCACTCCTCCTGAGCGTTGGGGACCATGGTTCATCTCTCTAAATCTTGCAACTTACTCTGATTCGAGTCGAAAGGAGTGAGCTTTTTTGATTGAATCGGGTTTTGAATTATCAATTGAGCAGGTTATATAGGCAATACATACCCAAAGGAAAAGAGTATCCTCTACTGTGTAGGAGATTGGAGAAGGTTGACACAAATTGGCTCTCTGGTCTTTTTCGTGGAGGAGAAGAAGAAGAAGTTGTGCTTGACTGGAATCAAATTGCAGAGCAGTACGGTAAGTTTATTTCTTAGTATAAATGTTGCGGTGTTAATTTAGTTCAGAGTCACAAATTATTAAGCAAGTGTTATTTGTACTACTACTTCAGGTTATGTTCACATTGGGGTTTGTCGAGTTTCACCTGATCATAACTATCTTGCTTACACGGTTGATCCCCATGGAGGTGAACGTTTCATCCTCCAAATTAAGGATTTAAGAACCGGTCGTTTAGTTCCGAGGTTGGAAGTTGATGGAGTTGTTAGCTTGGCATGGGCTTTAGATGGGGTCACCTTGTTTTACACTGTTGCAGATGAAAACCAAAGACCTCACACGCAAGTACAGTAACTTATGCTAGTAGATAGATTGTGTTTTTTTTGTCTTAATGAAACTTGGGGTTGTTTGTTCAACTGTGACATGTTTTTGCAGGGTTGTTGTTACAAATGTTGAATCAGATGGGAGAGATGATACCGTAGTGTTTACCGAAAGGGATTCCAGTTTCTGTGTAGACATAACGACCACAAAAGATGGCAAGTTTGTTACTATCAATTCGAACTCAAGGACTTCATCCGAGGAATTAACCTGTTTCGAACTTTCAATTGCATTTTCTTTTTTAGTGTTCTGTCACCCATATGCTCAAGGTGAGTCATTTTAATTTCAGGTTTATATTGTTAATGCTGATAAGCCAATGGCCGATTTACGAAGAACTCGTGCGCGAGTCCCTGGTGTGCAGTGTTTTTTTGAACACCACAATGGGTTCTTTTATATTCTTACAAATTCTCCATCAAATGCAATTAGTGAGTGGTCTGGTGAAGGTTATTATTTGACTAGATGCTTAGTGGAAGAACTTGAAGCATCCAACTGGCAGGTTTTTGTTATTTTATAAATCATCTTTTATGTAATTTTTTGCAGATAAAGAATCATACTGATTTTTCTTGGCAGATTGTTTTCTGCCCAGATGATGATGTGGTAATACAAGATATGGACATGTTCAATGACTATCTTGTGCTCTTTCTTACTAAGAAGGGCTCCCCTATGATATGTTCCATTGATATGCCCATAAAAGCAAATATGAAGGTAATTCTGATTAATCTTGCGTTGTGTTTTCTCTCTCTGTGTTTATACATTTTTACTAAGGTATGTTTCTATTTTGCAGCATATGGATGATCTTAAGCCCTGGTACTTTCCTCTTCCAATTGGTCAATGCAGTGTTGCACCAGGTTCAAACCACAACTTTAAGAGCTCTATATACCGAGTGGTGCTTTCATCTCCTGTGGTATATATACTTAGTTACTTTAAGAACGGGTTCCTCTATTGTTGTAGTTTTGATGCCATAACTTATCTGTTTTGCATTTTAATGATTCTTTCTACTCTGATAGTTTCTCTGAATACCTTACTGTTATGTTTGGGATTGCAGATTCCTGACACTATCGTCGACTATGATGTGTCAAGAAGATTGTTCTCAATTGTGCAACAGGAGAGAGGGGTTAACGATAATTCTGATATTAGTACGCCATGGCACTCTGCAGATCGTTCTATAGAGAGTAGCACTCAACTTAATGATACAAGCAGTGAGGGACGAAATGGTCAGTTAGATTCTCGAATGCATAAATGGGAGGATTTATCTGATGCATATGTTTGTGAAAGACAAGAAGTTTCTTCACACGATGGAGTTGAAGTCCCTCTTACAATTCTGTATTCACGAGAAGCATGGAAGAAGAGTGAATCGCCCGGAATGTTGATAGGTTATGGTGCGTATGGAGAAGCTTTGGAAAAAAGCTGGTGCACAAATCGATTGAGTATGCTTGATCGTGGGTGGGTAATTGCCTTTGCTGATGTGAGGTCAGTTATAAAACAAAACTAGATCATTCAATTATCATTTCTGCAGCATGTAATTTCCCGGTGAATATGCTTTGGTTTGTCATCTCTTGGCATGATAGTGGTAATTTGAAAATTCTGCTAAGAGTTTCATTTTGGCCTCAGGGGAGGAGGTGATAAGGATTTTTCATGGCACAAATCCGGCACTGGATCGTTGAAACAAAATTCAATCCAAGATTTCATATACTGTGCAAATTATCTAATCGAAAAGGGCTATGTGCATAGACACCATCTTGCTGCTATTGGGTACAGCGCAGGAGCTATTCTTCCAGCTGCAGCCATGAATATGCACCCAAGTCTATTTCGAACTGCGATTTTGAAGGTAAAAGCAAATGCATCAAGTTGTGTCCAGAATAACCAAAAGCTTATATCATCAAGATTGTACTATTTGGGCAGGTTCCTTTTGTAGACGTGTTAAACACATTATCAGATCCAAATTTACCTCTCACACTCTTGGACCATGAAGAATTTGGGAACCCGGATATCCACACCGACTTCCGATCCATCCTTAGCTATTCTCCATATGATAACATACGCAAAGATGTTTGCTATCCGTCCATGCTTGTCACAACTTCGTTTCATGACTCTAGGCAAGCTTCACGCAAGATCTTTAAATCCATGTTTTCTTTTTGTTTTTATTTAATTACTGGAACTTATAGATCACATTTTATGTTTTGTTGGTTCAGGGTTGGAGTATGGGAAGGTGCAAAATGGGTGGCTAAGATACGGGAGAGCACGTGCCGTGATTGCTCACGAGCTGTGATTCTGAGAACAAATATGAACGGAGGCCATTTTGGTGAAGGTGGTCGTTATGCTCAATGCGAAGAGACTGCCTTTGATTATGCTTTTCTTATCAAAATTATGGGTCATCACAACAACAATGTATGATAGAATCATATCAACTTTGGTGTAGCTTAAAATTGTATTATAAAGCCTTTTGCTCAAAGTTATAAATCAGTTGAACTCATTCTCTCCTACGGGTTTAAACAACAACAAAACAAAACAAGGAAGATAAAATCAGAAATAAATGACGCAATAACTTGAAAAATGAAATCTGACATTCCACAAGAGATCATATTTGATAGGTTACATGAATAATGCAGAAGATGATACAAACTCAGAACCACAAAAAACGTAGAAATCTACTAACCATAATTGATCTTAACGACTATAGGAAGCCCCTAGAAGCCGATACAATGTACACGATAGAAGGAATCTGTCAATACATTTATATATTCCAAAGCCGTGGAGCCTGATAGAGAAATGTCACAGTGTTTTCATGCGCTTATGAGAATGTTCAGATTCTTCCTCAAAGCTTGGATCCCTTGCTTGTGTATCAGATGATAATGGATTCTGCATAGAAAGTATGTATCAACATCATCGTAAGTGTCTATTGTGACATGGAATATGAAGACGGCTACTTTACCTTACTTGATGGCTCGTCATGAGTTAGTCCTTGATTGGCTCGTTTCCCAAGATCAATCTGCACAGAAAGTTTTGCATGCGACAGATCAATTCCTGCGTTCTGGAGAGCTTGTGTTAATGAGCTCAATAACCTGGTCATTTCAGAATACACATTAATAAGAAACCAGCAAATCAATTTGATTAAAGAAAAAAGTAACAGAAATAAGGCAGTGTTAGAAGATCAGGTTTAACTCACTCATGCGAGTAGGCACTAGAGATGCTAATGGTTCCACCTTCAATAACCAGGTCATTACTTTGGCCTAGCCCATCACTAGTAGCAGGACATTCATTAGCTTGCTCACCTTGTACCAATGGAATAATTGGTTGTACTGGTGGTAATCCTTTGTCATCTAACTCAGGTTGACTTTCAATCGGTTTGCCGGTTATAGCTCTTCCTTTGTCAGATTCAATCGGGATTTGCGGTTCTGCAACAATTGCAGGTGTCGTAGTCACAGTGTTTTCTTCAAACTTTCCAGGAAATGATATCCCAGGACTGGATCCATTATTTATAGCTACTGGGTGATTTGCCAAACTCTGAACTCGCCAGTGATTATTCCTCTGTTCCATTCAGGAAAACATAAACGTCAGCTAATAGTACACAAAACTGGCAGCAGAAACACAGGTGCACAACATAACATATCAGAAGCTGAAATTTTTGAAAGATATATAAAGTATTAGAAGCTGAAATTTTTACCCATGGTGTCAACTTTGTTGGTTCCTGACTCCATCCTGGATACGATCCTTCATACTTTTGCACTTTCTCTTGTAAATACTGAACATAATCTATCACCTAGAATGTAACAGGAGTAATATCAAGGCTAACAAGATCTAAATTCCATGAATATTCGGATAAAACATCATCAAATATCATGAAAATACCTCTAAAAGGAAAGAAGCAGTATCTCTTTTTTGTTCACTGTTGGGAATCAG